TTAATCGAATTTTTTAATTTTTTTGGTCCCAAGTTGGGACCAGAGAAAAATATTATTTAATAGAGGTTATTAATTAATAGAGGATTAATTTAGGGAGGTTTTACTGTACCCCCAACCAAGTTAAATGAGAACTTAATTGATTTGCAATGTGACCAGATAAATATAAGAACACAAATTGGAGGTAAATGCAATGTTATACCGAAAGCGATCAAGCTATAAAATAGAAATGTACGTGTTTGATACTCCAAGGGAATAATTTTGAGGAATATATCCAATCAATGTTTCAGTTCCATGAGGAAAACCGCGTGCACTATGAATATTCAGAAGAATGGCAATTAGGTCACCAATCATCATTGTCTAGCTACTCTTATATCAAATGATATCAGTGTCAAACTTCATGAACAATCAAATAAATTTATTCAGTAAGTCATCACTCAATTTTATATTATATCTTTTAATTTATTCTTTTATTTTGTGCGAATCAAAAAGATTCGGATGCTTGGTGTTGCCGAATGTTTTCACAAAAATCGAAACGTATTGCATGCCCTCGTTTTTTTTTTTTTCTTTCTCTTTTTTCTAATTGGTTCTCAAATTGTACAACTTAGCGAACTGTACTTGTTTTTGGAACTGATAATCTAAAAATTGAAATACTTCTAACCGAACATGTTATCGGTTTAAAACAAAGTTAACTACTCTCTTCGTCTCACAAAAATAGTTCACATTGAGTTTTGAGTTTTGTACTGTTTTTTGTACAAATTTAAAAGTTCAATGTGTGGACTATTTTTGTGGGACGGAAGTAGTATTAAAATGGGACAGATAGGATTATGTAAAGGAAACTGCTTAGAAATTTAGCCTCATGATTTTCCTAGTTCTTTTAACATGAATTATTGAATTTAGCCTCATTATTTTCCTAGTTCTTTTTACATGAATTATTGACCCAAAATATAAAGCAATGAGCGGAGGAATTAATATACTCTACTCCTAGATTATTTTTGTAGGAGGAAGGGAGTACTACTTAATTTACCTGATGAATAATGGATTCTCCTTACGCATGACACTTGTACTGCTCATAGGTCTTTTGTAGAAAATATGAAATTGAAATCAGAAAATAATTTATTAACATATGAGTTTGAAATTTATTACGGATATAAAATAATTGCCATCTATCGAAATATCTACCATTCAAAAAGAGAAAATAATCGTTTCCATAGATAGTGAACACACCGTAAAATATTGAAACTTATAATTTTAACAATTGATGTTCGTTACTAATATCTCTCATTCTGTGGCTTACTAGCAAATAAATAAATACTCCTGTAATTCTTTTTTGTTTTGATTTTTTTGGTGCAAATACTTCCTGTCATTCTGTAAAACTTTGAGCCGATTTAGCAACACGGAAGCTCTTCTTGCTTGAGGTCATAGTTCCCAACTTGGGGATATGATGATTTCGCAACTCGTCATGAGACTCGAGAACTTCGCCAAATAAAACCTGAGAAAACATTTTAGCATTTTATTAGTAATCATTCATTAATATTATCCTAATTTTGAAGTCAATACTCAACACCAACAGACAATGTAACACAAGCACCTAGCCAAATATGCAGCGGGAGCCGAAAATAAATAAATAAATAAATATATATATATATAACTTTTTTTTCACTTTGAAATATAAGTTTTTGGTTTTGTTTTTTTGAACGACTTTGAAATGTGGTTCGTTCATGATTATCTTGTTACATACAAGGGGAACTCTACAAGAAGCCTCAACTATAATAATAAGAGATTATCGTTAAGGAAAAAAGAAATTCCCTTCGATTCCAATTATATAGCATAAATTATATTATTTCCGTGCCAAAAAATAGTCCACATTGAGTTTTGAAATTTGTACTAGTTTTATTACAAATTTGAAAACTCAATGTATACTATTTTTCTGGGACGGAAGGAGTAAAAAAATGTTTTAAATTTGCGCCTTATAATTACAATCAGAGGAAGTACAAGAGAACTGGTCATAGAGAGCTATAAGGGAGTTTGAATTTAAGACCTCTGAGTTCTAATCAAGAGAACAGAGAACTACTACAATGTGGTAATGAATAATTTGTGAAAACAATTTCTGAACAACCATTTGTTTGGTTTATTGCGTGTAAATATCATATAGAGTCAAGACAAAATCAAGTAAAGCAAGCCATGGAATCTGTATAAACCTGTGTTTTCAAAACCGGACAGGCCCGGACAGTCTAACCGGTTAGCCCAGGCACCGGGAGCCTCACCGGTCTGGTTTTCATAAAAAATCGAATTTTGTATAATCCGGTCAAACTCGGTTAAATTTGGGTAAAACCGTGATTTGACCGGAAACCGGTACCGGTTAAACCGGTTTTTGCATATGTTTTTTTAAAATTAATTTTAAATTTTTTTAATATTATTTTAACCGATTTTCACTGGTTTCGAAGAATGAACTAACCCGTTAACTCGATAAATCTACCAATTCGATCACGCTAACGGTTCACCTTCCGGTCTGATTTTGAAAACATCGGTATAAACCTAATTACACTAGACTGGACCCCTTTCCGATTGGGGACCCCTTTTTGTTTGGAAAAAAAAATTTAGTTCGTAACTAAAAGTCCATGGCATTATGTTGAGGTTGGTCTGGTCTTAAATGATATGAAGGTAGCCTTGTCATTATGAGCCAGTAAAGGGAATGGGGGGTAATCCCTTGATTGAAACATCACAATGGAAAGACCTTGACTTCCTAGGAAGAAGCAAATAAATTTCTTTGGTTTACATTGTGTATTAATCGTGTTTTATTAGCCGATCGCATGAAATTATCAAGATCATAGTTTCATTAGTTTTGTGTCTGTCTGGCTGTATTTAATGAAGTCTTCTTCTTTTGGGGGAAAAAAGTTGGCAAGAAAAGAAGCCAATTTGTATGTGTGACAATCGATATGATATTCAAATACCATTTGATGAAATTCTAGCCACTGTATTCAAATGGTCAACTGCTATGTAATTGTCAAGTCATTACAATAAGAAATATTTCCATCGATCGAGCGGTTATTAACTTTTACTCCATCATTTGGGAATATCAAATGACCGGTTTTAACTTTTAAGGTCATACTAAATCATCTCAAAACGCCTTGCCACAAGTTTTCCCTATTAAAATTATTGCTCAAGTTTTCACAATTCCTAAATTTTATTGCTTCGATCCTAAAATGATTGTCCAGTTTTAACTTTAGAATATAAACAAGGGATATTAGAATTCAAAATCCATAACTCGATTGCCTATAGCTTAGCCTAACTAATTTAGTTCACATTTTTTGAGAGTTAGAAGATATTTACGATGAACAGTCAGTGATGTTGAAATCTATATATAGCGTCACTATCGATCGACGACTATTATGTTTTTCTTCTTTTTTACCCGAAGACCATAAATAATATCGGCAAATAAACAAAGAAACTCATGTTTTGGGACTTACATTTTTTTTGAAATGGTGCGACTTACTTTGAAATACTATTGTATGTACTACTGGTGGCCACGCTCAATATTCACTATGATACATTTTGTTTAGATGATGAAAACTTAAACGTATTGTTTGTTAAACTATTTTGATACGACATACAAGACTTTTATTACTCCCTCCGTCCCGAAATTATTACCCAGTTTGAGATTTTATTTGTACTAAAAATAAAATCTCAAACTGGACAATAATTTCAAGACGAAGGTAGTATTTTCTAAGAAACAAGAGAAAGATCGAGAAAGCTACCTAAATACAGTACTCCGGGATGACACAAATTATATGTAAGCATTAGGACTTGACTTACTATTCAAATAAGACATGAACAAAACTGTTGTTTAAGGGAGCAGTATAGATATAAATATAGTTTCGTTAAACAAATAGTTGAATTAAATCTCGTTATTTCTAAGAAAAAGGTATAAATATTAGAGAAAACTTAGAACTTGTAAAGTAATAACAACAGTAATGATGAGTAATTAGTACTATTTCCGTCCCAAAAAAATAGTTCACATTGAGTTTTCAAATTTGTACTAAAAACAGTACAAACATAAAATTCAATGTGGACTATTTTTTTGGGACGGAGATAATACTATTATTGTCTCATTTTAATATTTTGATGAAATGAACTATTAAAATAAGTTGGAAAGAGCACATATTACAAAAAAATCTAATAGATAAACTTTGCGATCTTATCAAATTGTCATCAATTATCAATTTTTTCATTTCCCATATGGAAAAAACGCGTTCACTGTACCTAGAAGAACAATTAGGTTACCAGTCCTTGTCTAATTGTCTTATATAAAATGCATGCACAAATCTCGTGTATGGAGATAAGAGTTGAGCTAAAATGAGAAAGATTCCGATACGGTATTTGTCGTATCTTTTCAGAACAATTGAATATTACAAGCCCTATATTCTTTTCTTTTCGAAAAAACTTATTAGTTTCCCAAGTTCATAAAATCACCAACTATTAGCTGTTTAGCCTGTTTTGGTAGCTTCTTTCCTTCTTTGTTTGTTTTTTTTTTTCTTTAAAAAAACATTAGTCTACTATTTACTGCTAGAACATCATATTAATCTTTCAATTTTATTTATTTTATTTTTTTTTGAGGAAAATATACTTGCATTAAGATTATTGGAAACGGTCCAACACCAATTGAGATACAAAGTCTGGAAGTGAATTCCAAACAGTTTCAATTACATCATATGATGATGATGATGATGATGATGTTGGATGGGTTTTGATGATTGATTCAATTGAAACGAGCTAGCATCTTTGATATATATTCAGTTGATTTCTTATGCGATCTCGATTTTGAGACCTCTTAGTTCTTTTATAATTAAATTTGATTAAGAAGGTTGGGTTAATTTTATTTACAAGTTTCTTTCCGCTGAATAAGCATCTTTTTATTATTGGATACTTGTTCTTGCTATATTACACACTCATTTCCATGAATAAAAATGTCATTTTTAAAGAGTGTCTTTTGGAGGTCTCGTATCGTAATCTCACGATATTGTTCTTACATTCCATATCATTCTTGTACATTTATGCAACAACAAAGATAATAAATCATCGGATTGATGTGTAAACTGTATTATCATGTCAGAATATGTATGGATCCTTAAAATCAACATTGGAAGTCTTCTTATTGTTTTAATAAAAGAATATCATCTAACTTCTGTTTTTTAACTCGTGATATTCTCCGAAGCCCGTTCACAAATTCCGTGGGCCTACAAGTTCAAGGCCCAAAACTTCGAAATTAAAATAAAAAATCCCTTCTTCTTAACTATATAAGCTACAGTTATATAAGTCTCAAAACTTAGTTCAAAAGAACAAGGACTTGGAAGTAAATCAACAGCAAAATCCGAAGGGCTTTAGATGAACCATCTGAATCAAGCATTTGGTCACAAAGATTAGAGAGGCTATACAACAGGTAACAGTCACCTAGTTCCACAATCTAGTATCTCATCATATAAAAGTTACGAATCTGTAAAAGATTGTCACTCTTTTTTATCCACAAACCTTTTAAAACGATACGTAGTTAGCACGTGATCTTAGATTGGAAAAGAATCCCAACAAACACCAAATCAGCCAGCACTGTAAGACAAAAGAGAACATTATTACATCTTCCCTCTCGGCTCATGGGATGGAAATCTCCAAATCCATTGTTTCCTGCTTCAACTCTATATCCGTCATCCCAACAACAACTGGATTCGCAGAACTTCAATCTCATGCTTCGCAGTATATGATAAAGTAGTAGACGGAAAATATAACGAGCATCTTTTTGCTGCGTAAGCAAACTCATCCTACTCTACCCAGAAATGACTGCAAGGAGACATAATGACTGAGATTCGTACCCATCGGGATTTTCTAATGATAGTAATAAAAGAACAGGAAGCAAATACAAGACAGCACAGAAGAGTAGAAGAAACAGTTTCAAGATGAGAAAGGATTGGAGTGTGAGTGCTACCTTGGACTTCACTGGAGGAGTTCCAGCTTTGTTTGTAGTGGAACTGCCAAACCCGAACTTGGGCCTCTTATCCGCAGGCTTCAATATTTGGAAAGAGCACATCAAAGTCTCGTCCACACTCATCATGGCACCAGCATTATCAAATTCCCCACAGTAGTTAGGGGCAGAAAATATAGTTACGAGTTGCCTATCAGCAAAAAACTCATATCCGTCTTCCACAACCTGAAAAGAGCCAAGGGAAGAGATTATACATGTTTAGATAGTTGAGATTGCTAATTTGAGACAAGAATAAAGATTTTTCAGTTCATACCTGATGGGCACGGCAAATAAGATCCAGATCATGCTTCTGAAGAAATTCGGTCACCTTATCTGGGCCAAAGGTATATGAAACTCCTCTGTCATTCATACCCCACCCTTTAATATCTTTACTTGGATCCGACCAAAGTAGATCGCAGAGTAAACCAGTTTCAGGAACATCACATGGGCGCTGCAGGTTCCTTATCTGATCTAAATCATTGAGGTCAGGAGAAAGTCCCCCGTGCATGCATAAAATTTTCTCATCAATTAAAGCTGCTACAGGCAGGCAGTTAAAACAGTCTGTGAAGACTTTCCACAATCTGACATTGAATCTTCTCTTGCACTCATCGTAGAAGCCATAAATGCGATTAACAGAAGCACACTCATGGTTGCCCCTCAGAAGGAAGAAGTTCTCAGGATACTTGATCTTGAATGCAAGTAGAAGGCATATCGTCTCAAGACTCTGTTTGCCACGATCCACATAATCCCCCAGGAATAAATAATTGGACTTGGGTGGTAGTCCTCCATATTCAAAAAGCCTTAGCAAATCAGAATACTGACCATGGATATCGCCTAAGCAAATATGCCCAAAATTAACACGGAACAAACACAGAAGTTAATAAAAGATCACAATTAATAGTCATATCCCTATTTTCTAACTTATAAAACTAAGCATAAAGTAGATGATAAGGTCCTAACATACAACAGCAATGTGCCAAACTGAATGAAATAAAACATCTATATTGAGAGACTACAATGATTTCAAGCTTTTGAAAGGAATATACACGGAACAAACTGACTCTGCAGTATTTAATTAAGGAGGTCAAGCTTAAAAAGTAAATAAATCATCCATAATACACTGAAACACTGAAATAAATTATCCTAATAGTAACACTGAAAGAAATTCAAAAATAAGACCCCTAATACAGCCTATTCTACAAGTAATTCAATGCTCTTCCATTATCCCAAAAAAAAATAAAAATAAAAATAAAATAAAAAATCAATGCTCTTCAGGCCACAGCTCTATTCCAAATTTTTGGTGAATACAAAAAATACGCTGGCTTTATGAAAGTTTAAAGCAAGTGTTCTGGCTAGTTAACATGAATTCCCCGAGGTATTAACTGCCTCAATGCATTCACTATTTTTCTAGGCTAGTTAACATGATGGTTGATACTCGTGACATTCTTTACAAAAGGGGAAAAATTCTAGCTGAGGACGTAGCTGAATGTGTAATTGCTAAGGTAAATGTCATGGTTTCCAACAGTATAACTATCTCTAATAAGATATAAAGCTTCTCTTAGTTTCCAAACAAATTTAGCAAGTCCCGTAATCAAACAGAAAGTCAGGAACAAGCCTGACTAGCTCAGAGTTATTGTAGAAAAAAAGACTGCTGTGAAATATAATTACTGCCCCAAAAAAGTAACCAAAATCGAACAATTATTCTTCGACTATGACACTAAATAATTTCAGAGTCACTATCACGATTCAGGATCCATTTCATAAAAAACTGACACATATTTGTCAGCACACTCCAGGAAACAACCACACGCAGAATGAGCATACAAAGTTTCAAAATCTCATGAAGACAAGATGAGGACATGACTTCTAGACTTTCCCTACTTCAAAACAATAATGTTCAATTTCAAAGAGTTATAGAATGTCATTGGAGTAACATTGCATAACGTTGAAATATGTTACTAAACACTTTACTTTTCTTCACTTTCTGATTCAGATGTAGATCACATCGGAAAAGGAATCAAACACAAAATTTTCAGCGTGAAACACAGACATCTTGCCAACTATTTTATTTCTTTTTTTTTTTTTTTTTGACAATGATACAAAAGAAAACAAAAAGTAACCATGAACCATCTGGAATAGAGCTTAGCATTCATCACCTCAAATGCACATGAAATAATTGATAGCCAAAAAGTAGTACGATAATGCTGCATTACAACACAACAGGATGGTTCATAAAAAGCTACCACATGTGACTCATCAGGGAATGATAAAAGAGCCACTATGAAGGTTGTTTTTGATACTTAAGCCTGCGAATTCAGTTGCATCACAATAGCTCTTCCACGAAATCATATGTAGGGATAAGACAATAATATCATTTAACACGGGTAGTTAAGTACTGCAAATTTAAACCTCACATTGGGCCAGACTGGGTAGAAGACTGATCATTTCTCCTAAAGGACCAATCAAATTCACGTTTCACTAGCAAATTTCAAACCCACAAATGATAAATTTATCAAATGCATACATCACAAGATCATATCTCTCCAAATGAACCATCACAACAACATGCAGATACAATGGCGAGAAACTAGTAAACATTGACTTTGATTCGTTTTCTTCCCGATTAAACTATAGGAAGCCATCATCACTTCAGATAATTTACATTATCTTCAAAGCACAACACTCAGAATCCTCTGCAATTGGATTTAAACTACAGAACCAACTATCATAAGCCTGATTCAGGAGTTCCCTTTCAAAACAACAAATTAAGGTTAGCACGTAGCACCTACATTTGAAGTCAACAACAGAGAAGGAATCTGACATGCGATAAAGTAGATAGGAAGTACTACTCAAAGCAAGCCTAGCTTGACAGGAAACCCAACCACACAGTTTAATAACGAAAAAATTAACAATTATATTACTCTAACCCTGTTAAAAAGTAAATATCAAGTCAAGCATTAGGAAGGAAGTCACCAAGCTTTCTCTATACCCAGTCAAATTAACTCAATTCTGAACCAAACCCACCAACAACCAGGAAGAAAAGAACAAAAAGAACAACGAAACAAAAGAAAGAAACCAACAAAACAAAAACCAAAAGTGAACAAAAACCCTTCAGCAAATAAACCCAGTAACGTAAAGGGAAAGAAGATGGGCGGTAAAGAAACAATACCACAGATCTTAATAGGGGCCTCAAGTTCAAGAAGATTAGGCTGCTCCATGAAAATTTCCTTAGACTTGAGACAGAGCTGTCTAATTTCCGACTCCGAGAGCTGTACTTGTTTCCCGGGCTTTCCCCTAACCTCAAGCAAACGCTGAATTATAGCATCAAGAACCAGAGAATCCATCTTTTCTTCACTGTTACTCTTCTCAATAACCAAAATCTTTCATGCAACAACTAAAAAACCCAGAAACCAAAAAAAAAAAAGGGAGCAAAGAGGGAAACAAAACTAGAGTTGAGGTCTATATGGCATCAACAACTGATGAAATTCATCATCAAACACGAGAAAATTGAAGAGGGATATGACGAAAGAGGAGAAGAAAACAAAGTAAAGTGATAGTGGGAGGGTGGATTGTGATGAAATTCTTGTTTAGTTAATAGCATTCTGGAAGAAGAAAATACAAAAATTAAAGAGAGGGTTTTTTTTTTTTTGAAGTTGAAAGTAGTATGAGTGGCTTTTTTTAGCCTTTAGTTTTGAACGCTTTTCTTCTTTTTCTTTTTTTTTCTTTCTGTGAAAGAAAAAAAAAAAAAAAACATTCGTGTTTATCTCAGTGTGTGACTCTGTGCTGTGCCAGTATTCTTCTTGTATTCTCTTTGGCAAGTCAAATTTAGGATTCTAATAATGTTCTTACTTTTTTTTGTACTTTTGATGGTCACCTTTGTGTTATATTTTGACGTGCTGTGTATTTATATAATTATTATGCATTGATAAATGATGTCTTTAAATAAACGAATGATCGAATGCGTGTCAAATATCTGAGTAATTTTATAAAATATAACGTTGTAATTATACTATACAAGATCGTTTGACCTTGATTTTTTTCTTATTGTTGTTTTGGAATCTACAAAATGGAATATTGTTGTTCACATTTCAATGTTCTTGTTAGAAAATGTGTAAATGAAATGGTAAGAATATTGTTGGTTAGAGAGTTGAGGAAAACAGTTTTTTTTGGAAGAAATTGTTATGACATAATTTAATCCATTGAAATGATTTGATTGAGCTGACCTTTTCTTCTGGGCAAGAAAAATCATATTAAAACCAATTGAGACTATGGATTGAAATTGAGCTAAAGGTGACAAAGCATTCCATTAGTTGTTGAAAATAGTATAATTGTTATGGTTAGGTTGTGTTACTGAAGGAAATATACTAATTTAAGAAGTAGAAGGTACAAGAATCAGAAAACTAGAGATAGATTTCATGGAATCAATCACACATTGACTCACATTCAATATATCGCTCTTTGTGAGTCGGTCAAAGATTCTAGTAATGGGCACCAACTGAATGTAATAAACGACTCATATTTTGTGTTTATAGGTCTCTGCATAATATTTGTAATGAGGTTATGAAATTGTTTTTTATCGAAAAAAAAGTTGTAAAATTGTTGAAATTACACTATGGAAGTAAAGATTAAAAAAAAATAATAATAATATCACGAAATTTTGAGTTCAACAACGCTTGATAATATATATTCTACGAAAAATCTAATGTAAATATGTTATACGTACCATCCAAATTTCCCCCAAAATGAAGAAAGAGTAGAGACTTTCTTTACTAGGTGCAATACAAAATGTCTACATCCGATGAGGGAAATACAAGATCAAAATTAACTTGGAGTTTGGGATTGGTCAAAGTTACCAACAAAAGCTATCCAACTTTCCAAGTTTTTTTCCACACCTTCTTTCGATTTAAGCCAAGTACCCTCTCCAATCATCATCCACCAATGCATAGTGCTTTCCTTTTAATATTTCTCCTCTAGAAGAAGCAGAATTTTGAGCATGAAGTTCTAAGCAATCATGCTAGGATAGATTAACCAATAGTAAGCTAAGTGTAAAGATTAATTAAACTCTGCAAAAGCAAGGTTTGGTATGCAAATTTTTCACTCTTATCAAAAGTTTATTTAACAGAGATTACCATGCTTGTGTTCTAATTAAAGTTATTGTAGCATCTTAGGAAAAGTGAATTACTACTAATTGGGACAAAAGAATGATTCTTTTTGATAAATTGTCAAGTAATATTGTTCAAATTAATTTTCTCAAAAATAAAGATAGAAGAAACACTTAGGTTGATCTTAATTTTACTGAAAACGGAAGATCGCCTTCGATCTCTCTCCTTTTTTTTTTCTTACCATTGCTATTAAAAGATAAAAACAAATGACACTTCACTTCTTCTAGAGTGGCACTTTTTGTATCTAAATTTTTGTCACAACGAAAAAAATTAATCGTTATATAACAGACCAGGTTCATATTATAACTTGACAAAACATTATAATGTACATGTGACGAATTTATTAGGACAGAATATAGTTTCTGACCCATGTTTGTGACACTATTGAATTCATTTTCACAATTATTAAGTTTTTGTACTCTCTGTTTTAGAAAAATTATTCACATAGAGTCTTAAGATTTGCACTAAAAGTACTTAAGTAGTATGGATCTTAAAACTCAATATAAACTTTTTTTTTTGAGACTGAGTGAGTATTTAATATTCTGTAATATAATTTTTCATTGCATATATTTTTTTTGAAAATAACTATTATATCTTACTATATTAGAAACAAAAACCTCCCTTTCAAACACCTCATATGATTGCCACGTGGCATGTAGAAAGGTACTAAATTGCCCTTTTGTCTAACCATAACTAAATTACTAAATTTCCATTTCCACTTTACGTGACACGTTTTTTTTTATTTTATTTTTTCTTTATGTTTCATTCAACTATAGTGGTTTTTTAAATTGAATTGATCAATTAGGTTTTTGTTACAAAGTGTCAACTTTATTTTAAGCGTATACCCTTCGGATGAAGCTTATTACAAAACTATTAAAAATCTCCAAAACTAAGTATTGATTTGGCACGACCAATGAAGAACATCAATAAATCATCTTACTAATATTTAAATTTATTAGGATGCTTTTATATTTTATTTAACATTTACTTCAACACATTTATTCGATTAAGGCTATTTATATTTAATAAGTAACATTTATAAAACATTTCTAAAACATACATGGCGAAATACAATTTCTTTTTTTTTTTTGTGTGAAATACAAATATTTCTATGATCACACTTATAAAACATTTCTAAATCCTTCAAACATTTCTAAAATATATCGCTACAAATACAAAATTTTATTTTTTTTTCAAATATAAATATTTCTAAGATCTACAGATAGACTGGGCCAGGGTCGCGCATTACGCGACCAGACATCACTAGTATATATATAATAAAAGTTACGTTACATAATGGTTACATTACTTGCCCACACATGGTTACGTAATGGTTTCATTGGATACCAAAACAGTTTTTTTCCCCGAAATGAGTATAACCAGAAGTAGAAAGGACCTATTTCACATAAGTAGAAAAGCTAAGGAGGTAAAAATGTAATGACATGAAATAAAAACGAACGTCAAAATCGAACCTTAAAAGAGTATCATTGACGAAAGACGAGCGTGAAAAAAAACTTGGAAAATCTACGAAAATTAAGCTGTGGAATCAATCAGTTTATGAACTCCGTGAGAAGGGTTTTAGATGGGAAGCAGGGGAAGAAATGATGTGAAGTACAGAAACCCGTGTCTGACGATGCATCAGCCATGGGCTTCTTTGCTTGTTTATGGTATTAAGCGTGTTGAAGGAAGATCTTGGCCTGCCCCGATACGAGGTTTTTTTGGCATCCCTATTCACTTTACTTCTTGATCAATTTGCTAAATGTTCTGTTTCTTTTGATTTTTCTTAATGTTGGGTTTTTATAGTTTTCATCAATTCTGAAAAGGTGTATTGGTGTTTGCCTGTTTGATATAACGCTCTGTTGGACCTATTGGGAAGTTTATACGCAAGTTTCAATTTGTATTCGATGAAGGAGCTGAATTTATGTGTAATCAGAATGTTTCTTTGGTTTGTGAATAATGGGATACCTGAAATTTGATCTTTTTGCCTTTAATGTATGTTAAAGAAAAAGTAGTTATGAATGTTAGATAGAAAGAGGTTGGCTTGTAACAAGTATCCAATGGTAGCTACATTAGAAGGATTTTTGTTTTGTTGTGTTTTTTTCTTTTTTTTTGTTTGGGCTACGTATCGAAACTAAAGGGGAAATTACCTAGTTAAGGCAAGCTTACATTCTCGAAGCTAAGGGTATTTGAAGGGCTTTAGTAATGCAAAATATGGATCCTGAACTTGACAAACGGGTGATGGTGTATATGCTTCTTTTGTTCATATTGTATGTTTGTATTACTGTTAAGTGCATTTTGTATTTGGTTTTGATGTCAAGTGCCATTGCTAACTTCAATAGTATATCTTGTTTAAGCACCGGGGTTCTGCTCCTCGAAACGTTTTGTGTTTTTTTTTTCTATTTACTGTATGTTTGTGGTAATGGAAAACCTGAGTGATGTGAACGTCCACTGCCTTACAATGTGAAGGGTGAACTTAAATAGTTGATGCAAGTGACGTCTTTTGAAGGACTTCTGGTTTTCGCATGCAGTGTTATGTCTCATTTGTGTTGTTTTCTAGCATATCTGATTATTATATTTATTGTACTTATGTAGGACGTCTCTGGATCCATGCTGCAAGTAAAGTTCCAGAACAGGAGACAATTAAAGCAATGGAAGACTTCTACAGAGAAATATATGCTGTTGATGGAATCACAGATATCAAATTTCCAGAGCATTATCCAACGTCCAGATTGTTAGGTATGAATTGTTTCCTTTTACGTTTTTCATTATTTTATCCATCTTTAGACTAAATACGACAAAACATTTATTCCACATTAATTGTGAGACAAAAAAATTTCCGGTCTCCTCTATCTGAACTTTCATATTTTGGATATCACGAATAATGGTGTGGCCGAATCAGATGGCGGATGCCATCGTTTATTTGACATTTTTTTGGTAAATCCACCCACGGGAATAGATATATGATGTTTCAAGAAGTAGTAGGGGTTTCATACGTAGAGCTCCCCTTTTGTAATCACTAAAGCAATTTTTTGCTTCCTAAGTATTACAAAAGAAAAAAAAATGAATAACAATTTGGCAGTTAGGCTACATGTTTTTTAGCAAGATGATCTACGGTGCACTCTACTGACGTTTCTCCACTATTGCATTCATTAGTAGTTTTTCATGATGGTTAAGTGCGATGAGATTCATTACTACGGCTTGTGGATGATTTTGAATGGCGATTTGAAAATTGACTTATAAAATTGATTTGAAAAGCTTATATAAGTCTGAATTCTTTGTGAAAATTTATTTCTGAGCAAATTTTAAATACAGAAGAAGACATTGATTTGAAAGTTTGAGGAAGCTGCCTTTTGCATTACGTGTCTGGTTATAAAGTCCTGTATGTATGTAGTGGTTAGTCTTTTGACCCCTGAATATATTGCACCACAAATCTCTTCTTAGCTACTTTACTAGACCACAGTGACTATGCCTCTCTTATTAATTGCACAAGTCTGATCTATGAGAATTCTGATGGTTGACACAATCACTTGGGCATGTTCCATGCTTGAACTCAAGGCCGAGGGTTTTATTTCTTTTATCTTGTCTCCATGCTGATGGCTGGTGGCTGGAAGTGCTGTTATTATTAGTCCGAGTTGTTTGATGGGGGAAAGAAACATTCCAGTACTTTTCTGGGATCATCATAATTTGCAGATGCTCAATAGTGAATGAGTGAATATTTTGTTTGAAGTGGAATGAATGAATTTTATGCCAAACATGTCTTATTGAAGTGACACACATTGCTGTTGCAACTTGATAAGCTTATTTAAGGCCTGAAAGCAGTCATGCGTGGTTCAAACTCCACAACTCCACTTTTTACATCATAGAAACTTGGTAGCTTGCTATAAGATGAGAAAAATTTCTTTTGTCCATGTAACCAATGCCTAAAGCCTAAATTCTTATGTATCTCGTTGAGCTCAACCTGTGTATGTCATGCTTGATTTCTCTCAATTTATATATCTATATTAGGCAATATGTAAGTTGATATTTTCCTGCTTTGTGGTCAATTTGATCTTTTGAATTTCCTGTTTACTTTATGTATCAGTTAACTTTTGTGCAAGAAGTTTCCAGAGTCCTTTCTGTCTTAAGTCTAGGAGATTTCTTGTTTCTAAACAGGACGTGGCACTGAAATGAAATAAAAAAACTTATGCATGTAAAGAGGAACCTTGTGACTACTTGTGTGTCTAATGATGAAATCACCGTCTTCATTGAACAGGATGTGTGGAGGTGGTTGGATGTGTCACCCGTGAAGAGCTGACATCCTGGGAGGAGGTTCCTGAAGGGGTAAGAACTTGATTGGTTTATCCTTGTTCGTTGATACTAGTAGTATCTTGGATAGTACTGGACTCTTTCTTTTGTGAAGTAGTAGGTAGGCCATATTCATTGTATTCCTTCTGATTTCGATCCATGTCTGCAGGTAAGACTAGAAGGACAAACGGACTTTTGTTGGCTTTGTGAGCAACCGCAGGTACGCATCACAGAGTTTATACCTAGTTTCCAAAAGGGTTCAACATTTGGTAACCTAAGTTGCTTATCATTGTCAAATTTTGCAGAAACTTATAGTTCCTTTTGAGATGAGAGGTTTCCAAGGAGTTTATAACCTTGAACGCAAGGTAAACACAAGAGTAATCGAAATTGATTGGGTTATCTGCTTCTCCCTTCTTTGTTAGCCCATTATTGAAATTGTAATCTTGTTTCCTGAAGATATACGAGTCTGCGGCGAGAGGTCTTATGCTAGTTACACCTCCTTATCCAGTGAAGTGTCCCCTTCCAAATCCACGAGATGCTTTCTCCTTGAAACCCCGTTCGCTTGCTTCTTCATTAAACATCTCCGGTTCTTCAAAGTCGGAAAAATCTGAAAGTCTTACTGCAGCGATTGCCGGCGCCCGTGCAGCAGCTACACAATTCTCAAAGAATCATGATGTCATCCAGTTCAATGAAGTAAAGGGAGGAGATGAACCCATTTCTTCAAGAACTAGGAGGAGTGCTACATGAGCAGAAGGTATAACTTGGAAGCTGCATTGTACAGATTAGAGCAGCAAGTAATACTTGCCAAGTACCAAGTAGCGTTTGCCCCAAAAGAATTAGTTATACTTGTTCCTTACGGTTGAATTTCTCTATTGTTCGATACTCTTGAAAACAAATTCTTGAAATTGTAAGTTAGAATTGCCTGGCAAACTCATTTGGTGGACACACTAAAAGAATATTAGCCAAGTTTCCGTAAAACTGCATTCCCTTGGGGGCAAGAACTCAATTCGTGACTAATTTTTCATTTCTTAAATCGTCCATAATTATTAAACGTTCCTTTTGTCACCAGAGCTTCTTTACAATTCTTGCTCTAATTAATTCATGACTTGCTTATACATTATTTAAGGTTGAATAAAATGAGTTCTTGTCAATGCTAAAAAGTTAATCTATAGTCTTCTATTAAGCTGAAGTCGGTAAGAAATATTTTTCAAATGTAGAAATAGAAAAAGATAAAACACTATTTTTTGTTTCTCTAAAAAAAGAGTCGTGTTTGTTGAACTAAACAATAATGTAACAGATAATTCGTCATTTTAGGAGTAATTTTATGCTGACACACTAGATCATTTTATTAGTTGTTTCGTGAAAAATTAGCTTAACATTTGTTGTCTTATTATAGTGATATATACAGTATTATGGAAAAACTAATCAAACCAAAACGCTTTAAACACTAAATGGACTTTCCCACTCCCTATATATATAAAGCACTCATCAGCCATCACGTTTATTCCATGTCTCAACTACTTTAATTTCATTTTCTTGTAGATATAAAAAAAAAATCATGGCTTCCAAATACTTGTATTTGGTTTCCTTTATTGGGATTATTATGGCTTTAAATTTAATCACTCCCTCAATTGCTCGTTTCGAGCCTGATCCCGACAGTTATCTTCCTTCTGAACACCTCCTCCCGGCACTGTCACAAGAGGTGGAGGGCTACGGCGGAGCAGTCGACTCCTTCAACCTATCTCCGGCGTCGTCACCGAAAGAGATCAATGCAGAGGTGGGCAACAAAAGAAGCAAGACGATGAATGAGTAGTAGTTTTAAAAATATATATCGTCGCTCGTTTTTCTTACCTTTATTAATTATTACGAGTACGAATAACTTATGTTTTCTTCATCTTATACACTTCCTCTGTTCCAAAATTATTGTTGAATTTGATATTTCACTTTTAGTACAAATTGAACTAAAAATGAAAACTCAAATTGGACAATAATTATGGGATGGATGGAGTAGCTTTTAACGTGTATGCTTCGACCATTCGTATAAGTGTGTCTCCATGAGCCTCTGTACCAGCACAAGATCTATTAAAAAATAATACTAAAGGGCACACCATCTGAAAATTGAAATTGTTCAAACAAACTCTTCTTGCCTAACTATCCAATTCCATTAAAATCTTTGCTAATAAACTCGTCTTGTTTGACTCCTAATCTGGTAATTACAATCTCTTAACTTATCATATATCCTACCATCAATCCATCATCCTTCACAATCACCAACTCGTCCCCTGTTAATAACCACTACAAATGTATGTGAGAATAGATCTTGTGCTGGTATAGAGGCTCATGGAGACACACTTATACGAATGGTCGAAGCATACACGTTAAAAGCTACTCCCTCCGTCCCATAATTACTGTCTTATTTGAGTTTTCATTTCTAGTTCAAATTGTACTAAAAGCAGTGTTGTTATGCTCGGCTCGAACCGGTTAGTCGATTCGGTTAAATCGGAAATTTGTTCCTAAGCCGAACCGAGCAAGACTAAAAATCGCCAAAAAAATCGGTCAAAATCGGTCAAAACCCCGATCGAATCGCAAATCGGTTAAAACCGGGTCGAACCGGGATTTTAGTTTTTTTGACCTTTTGACCCAAAAATTGCACATTTTTCTTTGGATTTCAACTTCCAATGTCTTCCGGGCCAACTTTTTCTCTTTTGTTCAAAATTGCTCAACAACTTTCAATTTTTTGTACTTTTTAAAGTTTTAATTTAATATTTAGTCCTTATATTCAATTTCAATTTTCAAAATATAATATTTTGAATAATCTTTTTTAAATTTTGGTACCAAAATTTACTTCCCTCATTTTATGAAAAATTTATATTATTACTCTAATATGTCACAAAAAAAATCTTGGAGTACTTTTTCTTAATGTGTATATTAGTTGTCTTTCAAATTTAATATTTTTTTCTAAATGATAATGTATTTATCTTAATTACTTTATTAGTATACTAATTTACTTTACTTGAGCAACAATTAACTATTAAAAAATATCAATATAAACTAATATAATCAAAGAGAGATATAAATTTTAAATCTTTTTAATTTTAAATATATTAAAAAACTAATTACTATATAGTTAGTAATAATGGCATCATCATCATATGCAACCTCATGAGTTCAATTTGATTATATAGCGATCCATTTGTAAATTATGAAGTATTAATTTGACTCCAACAATTGAAAAATATATATAAAATTTATAAATTCTAATTAAAATATTATTATTAATTCATTAGTATTTATTACGTCATTATGACGTCATCCGAATCGACTCCTGAATCGCCCCGAGTCGACCCCCGATTGGATCGACCCCTTGGCCATGCCGAGTCGAGTTCCGGTCCGAGCCAGACAACACTGACTAAAAGTGAAATCTCAAATTGAATAATAATTTTGGAACAGAGAAAATACTAATTAATCAGATTGTGATAATCTAGATTGGAAATCTAATTATTTTATTCCAAGTTATAGAGAAAAACTACCTTTTAATTAATTTGTGAACAATTTTAAAATCGGAGAAAGGAAAAAATAAAAAATAAAAAATCAAAGAATGAGACGGAATTATTTGCGTGGAAGACTTTACTGTGTTCTAAATATCACCGGATACGTTTAAATTTTAAAAACCAAAAAATATATTTAAATGTGTATGCAATTCTTTGAAAATTACGCTCCAAAAAAATATCGCACCAATAAAAAGACTAAAATTAGATTTTTTTTTTTCCGCAAAAGAAACACAAAAATAAAAATATCTTCCAAATAGGTAGGACGTGGAAGCATTTGATTGGATGATAAATGATAAGAAACGGGCGTCCAGAATTCTTCAATCGATTTTCTTATATATCTAGTTACCTCTGTTCCACCATAGCCAGAAAACTCTACCCATTGTTTACTCAAAGAAATATCAGAAGGAAAGAAGAAGGAATTACAATGGCGTCAGTATCCGGAGTTAGCATCTCAACCCCGAAATTAATCATAGCCAAGGCATCTTCATCGGACTCCACGAAGCTTCCGGCCCAGAAAATCAATTTCCCGTCCCTGTGGAACAGGGGAAGCAGAGGAAGGATTAATTTTGTCCGCCCGGTGGCCGCAGCGCCGGATAAAATCTCCGAGAAGGTGGCGGAGAGCGTTAAAGCGGCGGAGGAGTTGTGCGCCAGCGACCCAGTAAGTGGGGAGTGCGCGGCGGCGTGGGATGAGGTTGAGGAGCTGAGCGCCGCCGCAAGCCACGCGAGGGACCGGAAGAAGGGCGAGGATGTGTTGGAGGAATACTGCAAGGACAACCCGGAGACCGATGAGTGCCGTACGTACGACAACTGATGAAGAAGAAGAAGAAGAAGAAAGATGTAATGAATTTGTATAATAATCCTGTTTCGACGTTGTCTGTAACGTTTTTAATTATTGTTACTGGATTATTATTATTATTACATCAATATTCAGCTTAATTAGTATGTTCATGTGAACATAATTTTAGATGTATTTGCAAACTATTGGATGATGATGATGATACCATACATTTGTATGATGGATGTTTTTATTTGATTTATGATTATACTGGTTAGATATTTTTACGTATAGATGGCTACCTTCTCTTGATTTGGAATGCTAAGCAGAGAGTATGATTCAGAAACATCACACTATGGGCCTGTTTGGTTGCATGGATAGTTGGGGAAAGTAAACTTAACATTCCTGATATTTTAATTTGAGATTTTAATTCTGAGGAAAATTAATACTTTACTTTACTTTTTTATTCCTGAGAATATGATTCTGAAGAATATTAATACTTTTTTCTATTTAGTTATATGTTGGAAAATATACTTGAATGTGAAAAAAAAAAAAGAGCCTATAAGCCCTCCCAAAATATTCTTTATGAAATTCAATTCAAAATCTCGAAAAAATATGCTCAAGTCTAACTACACGAACAAGAATTTATTCACGTCATCTACTAGTACGTTGATTGTATGTATACCTATGTGTTTATATGTTTAAATTTTTAATCCGTCAAAGATGATTTAATTTTGAGTTAGATTAATCAAATTCAAATTTTAGTATGTAATAGACATGAGTTTTTGAGTGTCAAATTTATTTACAATCACTATGTTATTATCACAGGTTAAAACTACTCTATAACTATCATAGTATTTTTTTAAAAATAATTTCTACAATATTTTGATATACCCTTAAAGGTGTTTTAAAAAATCTTTTTCTCATTTTTACTCCTAACATAATCCAAATCCTATCTTTTAATTTATGTTGAATTTTTTTGTCGAACGATTTACATTTTTACTTTTGTATTATTGGTTATTGGTAAATTAAAAATTCATTTTTTATTGATTAAAAATTATTTTGATAAAGTGTATAGTTTTTATGTGGTCAAATCAAATATTTTGTCAATAATGTAAAACGATCATTAATCAAATTGTAAAAAATTTTAAAAATATATATAAATAAATTAGATTAAGAAAAAATAAATAAAATATGAATGATTGAAAAAGATGATAAAAAAAAGATACGGAGAATAAAAAATGAGTAAATATCAAAATCCTAAAAGTTGAGAATCCCAATACCACTTCCAAGGTGAGAAATCATAATCCATGAAAGTTGTGTTTATTTTTCTTGATTTCAGGATTCTTTTTCTTTACCCAAAAGTAAACAAACAAAGGAATTTAAAAATTAGAAAAATGATTACTTTCATATGCCAAACAAACATTTGAATTTAAAAACAAGGAATCAGATTACTTTCTGGCCCAAAGACCATATGGGTTTAAAGGACGTGAATAATCTGTACGTAGAATTTTTTATTTTTTATTTATTTTTATTTTTTGCATATTTGCAGGTTTTCACCGTCGACAACAGTGACTAATCCCCTTGTTGAATTGTAAGCACTTTAATGTGTGGGACAGTTGGCCAAAATATTTAAGGTTGCTCTATGCCCATGACGAGATTCGAACCCTGGACTTATGGTTAAAGGTGGAGGAGTCTTTTTCACTTTACCATAATCACTTTGGTTATCTATTCGTAGAATAATAATTTGTATTGTATGTTAGTGTTATGAAAGAAAAAATTCTTTTGAGACCAAGAAAGTAATTAAGTAATTATTTTAAAATCACGAATACAGTTTTGGGTCGAAAGTGACAAGTGGGGTTGCCGCCGGGGATGATTCTGATCAGTCGGTGGAGCTACCGCGCCGGCATTCCCTCTAACGTAGTAATCAGGATGTCGAAGGGAAAAAATACATAGAAGATGACACTGGTCCATTCGTTCGTGTCTATACTGCCCGAATATTAGTCATACACGTGCATGAAATATAACACCCCCAAAGATTAATCACAAATATCTCAATTCATTTCTTTTGTTTTATTTATTTATTTATTTATTTTTTGTGATAGAAGAACGTTATAAAATGGCTACGAAATTATTATTTTTGTCCCAAAAAAAATAGTCCATTTTGAATTTTCAAATTTGTACTAAAAACAGTACAAAAATCAAAATTTAATGTTGATTACTTTTGTAGGATGGAAGGAGTACAACATAAGGAGGACTAGTTATCTTATAATATCAGAAAACAACCATGCTCTAATCTTAGATGAAGGGGAACCCAATCTAAAACAACTAGTTGGATTTGTGACCGCCAAGGAAGTTAGATTATGAGCTGTGTAATTCTCCTCCCTATAGGCATGTTTCGAGTTTACCATAATATGAATTTTTGTTAAAGTTACGTGGTACATCCTATATATCAATATACTTGAGGTTATGTTTCTCTTAAACTATCATCCAATAGTTGTTAGGGGTGATAATTTTTAGTGAACACTTAGATGGTTATTTAGAAAGATACAAGTAAAGTTGCACAATCGCAATCAATACAAAATTTGCTCATAGGATAGTGTTTACATACTATCACCAAAAAGTATATTATGTTGGAAAAGAAATAAAGATCTTTTGATTGTGTTAGTGATGTTTTTAAACTTGGATCGATTTTCATTATGGAAGCAGTCCTTTTTACTTTCATCACAAAAGCCATACACTTTTCAAAACATAAAAAAGTATCTAGAGTTAGATTCTACATAAATTATACTTCCTCTGTCTCAAAATTATTGTCTATTTTGAAATTTTACTTTTAGTACAATTTGAACTATAAATGAAAATAAAAACCCAAACGGGACAATAATTATGGGACGGAGGGAGTAAAAGTCTATTAATTGATCGATAACGTACTCACAACATAATCTGCTTTATAGCTTGCCCTTGTCTCCTTACATAAGATTTTAGCTGTTAGTTTTTCAAATGTCTTTTAAATAAACTTTGAACCAAAAAAATCAACAAAAATACAAACAAGTCCTTGGATTGCTGTGAAATTAATTAATTGGTGTATGACATCTTTAGTCACGCATTCCACCTTAGCAACTACTAGTAGTTTCAACATAAATGAACTTTAACATTTGTCAAAAATACCTCGATCATCCAAAATTTTACATTCAATGTTGTCTAAATGAAACTCTACTGACTACAAATTCATTGAAAATGCTTCCCGTAAGCATTTAATAGGGAGGAAAAAAAATTAAAAGAAACAAAAATACATTTCACCACTTCTTGGAGGTATGTGTGAGAAAAAAAGAATAAATATTCACTACATATTTCACCAAAAGCCTCCTCCTCATACCAATTTGTCCAACAAAAATTCACACACATGATGTCTCCTAAATGCTTGTTTCTTGTTCTCTTCTTAGGTCTTGCAATCTTCATTACCCAATCATCCGCTCGGCCGGAGCCGTCGCCGAAAATCGAGGCCGGCGTCGTCACGATCAATTGTAACCCGTCTAATGTGATCAATGGCGAATTAGAAGGTGATCGGAATGATGGGCACTCCAAAATAACCAATTGTCAGATACGGTTTCCGGGCAGTCAAGTCAGCTTATCTCAACCTTCTTCTTCCGATCCTCCAAGTCCAAGTGAATCTCCGGCTCCGTCGCCGTCACAATGGGATTCGGTGCCTTTACCGAGGCTGCATGCGGAACCATCGACCAATTAAGATGGATCATTTATTTAGTCAAATTCAAATTAAATAAAAGTAATGTTGTACAACAAAAATTAAACCAATTTGGAGCTATGTAATTCTGTCCACTTAGTGAAATGGTTTGATTATATATAAACATTTTGTTGTCTCTGTATTTTCATTTTTTATTATTTTCCCCTTCTAACTAACTATACTTGCGTTCTCTAATAATAGCAATGCCTTCTTCATGAAATTTTATTATATCTGTTTCTTTTTTAAAAAAAAAAAATTTGGAACACTCCAGCGAGAATTGAAATCTTGACCTCCTAATAATAATCATCCACATCCTAATCTCCCAACCATCTCATTCAAGCCTCCCACATTATATTCGTTTCTTTCATGAATGAATAAAATCTGAGTACTACAATGTACGAATTACTCAATTATTATACATTAACTAATTGAACCATTCAATCAACAACATTCTTGAATTTTGTTGTGAATCTTTTAATTTGTATTGGAGTTTTGCCTATGGTGATTTTCAATGGATATGGGAGTCGCCAGACAAAGGTTACCTTAGTTGTGATATTTTTCGAGTTACATAATCTAGAAATGTATGTAACAGTTAGATTTCGAGTTTTTAACCTCTTTTATTGGTTTTTTTTTGGGGGTAAATCTTATATTGTATTTGAAAAACTCAAAAACTGAAAATTTTTAAGAATTAAGATGGTAAATATAATAAATAAGATATATGATACAAACTTTTGGTCAATTTTATGATTAGACCACCGATAGACATATACTCCCTCCGTCACATAATTATTGTTCACTTTGCCCAAAAAATTTTGTCACGAAATTATTGTTCAATTTGACTTTTTATGGATCAAGTTACACATTTGTCCTTAGTAAAAAACATTATCCATAAAATCTTAGTAGTTAAACAATTACTTATGTAGGGGTATATCCTGTTGTTTTAGGTAAAATATAGTTAAGTTTGACCAAAAATAAAATCTTTCATTTTAGTAAAACTGGACAATAATTATGGGACGGAGGGAGTACTAAATACATGAGGGATGGTATGTAAAGCAATTTAAAGCTAAACCGATCTCTATTCGACTTGGTGAATTTAGAAGAATTGATATCTGTACACTGTACTAGATTCCTGTTCATTAATCAAGTCTACTCTTCCTCTACCATAAATTAACTAAGATCTAGAGATTTCAAAAATCCTTCACAAGGAGGGGGGGTCAAAATCCTTAACATTGACTAGCTAGCAGGTGTCAAAACTTTGACCAACATAAGCACTATTTTAAGGAACAATGCTTCTTGCTTTCAGTGAACATTGAATGATTGAATGCACAGTCTCCAACGAGTCCTACATTGTCAACGAAGTTCATTAAATGGTCGTTGAAAGATCCTCGTAGACAATTAAATGAAGTGAGGAGTTACACTTCTATTAATCTATAAAAATAGCAATATCAAGAGTTCATATTACACATTGGGGAGTAATTTTCACTTTTTCAGTGGCAAATTAATCAGTAGAGAAAAGAAAATGTCGATGTTGAAATCATTGTTACTGATTTTGTTTTGTATCTTTGTATTTCTCGCAATTAACTCAACAGCTCGACCCGAGCCTGATGAGGACGATGACAATGATAATGAAAATGATTTTGATTTGGATGTGTTACCTGGAGACGGCGAATGGTTAAGTGCGACCAATGATGATCAGTGGCTAGCGAAATCGCCCGCATCATCAAAACATCACCACCACCGTCGCCACCACCGTCATCACCGCCACCACCGTCACCACCACCACCACCACCACGGACATCATCATCACGAGAAATCCGAAACCATTGCACCCGTGCAACCACCTTTTCCGCCGGTTGAACCCCCGTCGGAAGAAGCTAGACAAGTACCTAGTCCAACACAACCACCGTCCCCGGCAGAAGCAACTCTAGATCCCGCACCATCAGTGTCGCCGGCGGCAGCACCGCTGCCTCAACCACCGTCAGAGTCGCCGGCCGGTGGAGGGTCATGGTCGCAAATCATGGAGAATTATTTTAGTTCTTTTAATCCGTTTAAATTGTTCTAATTAATTAACATATTAGTATTAAACTCTAAATAATTGTGGACTTAATGTTGTTTTAGAAAAATTACTGATGCGCTTTAATATTCTTATTAATCTTTTTTGAAGGATCTAAAATGTCTTATGCCATTGGTTTGAAGTATTCCTTCCGTCCCATAATTATTGTCCAGTTTGAGTTTTCATTTCTAATTAAAATTGTACTAAAAGTAAAATCTCAAACTGGACAATAATTTTAAAACAGAGGGAGTATTTAATATTACTTGTTATCTGTTTCATTATGCAATATCATGGATTGTACAACATTACACATTTACACCAACTATTTAGGAAAGCCTACTTACAATATTGGAAAAGTCATGTGCTTGAATGCTTTGCTTTTGACTACTTCATCTCGGTTCATATTACGTTTCAAAATTTGTTGCTATAAATTGTACTTATCACCACTATTTCTCCATGCAAATGTTTTTTTTCAATTTTCACTCAGCATTTTCGCTTGGCAAAGCAATTCAAACACGTTTGTGTGGCCAATATGACATATATTGCCAAGACGTGCAGTAATGATATACTTTGAGTGGTGAATTCATACGGTAAAATAATCCAAACAAAAGAAAACGGGATGTTTCTTTCTTCCCTAGCTCTGTTGCATAATCATTCGTGTAGGAAATCAAGATTATGTACATAAGAAAAATGATTAATCTCACATCTTAAAGAAAATTAAAGAATATCTTTTTACATATATTACATGTTACCCGAATTAATTATAAAAATCCTGCAAATTTTTGAGTATTTACCGGTTGAAAATAGGCACACACAAAAATTTAAAAAAAAAAAACAAAAAAAAAAAAATCCATTGCAAATGATACCTCTTCTGCAACGAATTCAAAGGTGATTCAATGAAGTATGAATTCATTAATATCACCAAAAATCTTACAAAGACATTTTGAGTTTCGCCATCCATATGCTTTCCTTTTCAACCTTCAATTTCAACTCCAATGGCCCCCAAAACCCTTGAAATCTAACCTATTTTTCCACCTAAACTATACTTTTTACTTAGGACTTTTGTTGCAACCAAGATAGTGTTACACATACGCCATCAAAATCAAATTATAAACTAATGTATCCCTTGAAATAGTAGCCCCAAAAGTACTATAAATAGGTGACTAAAATTGGCTTAAGTTTTATCACACAAAACATCAAAAAAAATCATGTCTTCCTTTGCATACTTCCTAGCTCTCTTCATGGGAGTGGTGCTGCTTCTCACTGCTCCCTCTTTGGCTGATCACAACTCCAAATCACCTCCGCCACCTCCGGTGCCGAGGTTGCCTCCGATCATCCGTAGGCCGCCACCAATTCCGCCGCCACCGGTTCCGAGATTGCCTCCCATCATCACTAGGCCACCACCAGTTCCAAAGGCACCAACTTTGCCACCAAGGATTTACCGGCCACCACCAATTCATGGCGCGCCGCCACCGCCTTCAAACTGATGTGGTGTTCGATCGTTAAAGTCCACTAATAATGGAAGAATGCATTCACTGGAATAATGTCCCCTTATGCATCTTTTACAGTTTTACTGTATTCATGTGTATGTGTGTACGTGTAGCATGAAATTGGAAGTTCCTTTCCAGTTCTTCATCACTGTTTACAATTTGCTCTTGCTGTTGTTAATTTGCTTGGAATCCGTATTCTGAATAATATTGACTCTATTGAGCTATTACCAATTTATAATATAGCAAAAATTGCAGAAGTTTCAATTCTGAGGAATTTTGGTTTAGGACCTTTAGGTGGTTTTAGGGTACTCAAAATATTTTTAATTTCTAAATGGACGGACTTACTGCAAATTAAAAAGGGTAGGGGTACGTAGTTCTAACAAGATTCGGGAAGAAACTATTAAAAACGATTGAATTATTTAAATTTTTAAATAAAAATATGCGTGTGTATTCTATTGGTTTATGTTTTTTATTCGAAGGTACGATATGTGTTTAGGTAATAGGGATATAGCCGAATTTATAATGAAGAAGATATAAGATTAGTTGCTTTGTAAATGGTTTGACAAATTACTAAGTGTAGAACACGTTTAACACTTCTTACAAATGATGTTGACCTTTTCATGTGGTGGACTAATCATTTGTTAACACAACAAATGCAGGGGAGAAAATAGAAAAGGCTCATCCATTAAGTAGTACTTTATCGAGTTTACTGGTTTACTGTTCTCTGAAATTTGTTCCTTTTTCAGTGAAGAAACTTGCAGAATTCACCTAAAGTTTCAATGAAATTGGAAGACTTTTCTAAACTATGGATTCCACATGGAATAAAATCCAAGATAAGAGTGTACGCTCATATGAAATGAAGCAGAAATTCAGGCAAAAAAAAAAAGGACTAGTTTCAGTTGAAACAAAATCGAAAGATAATGGAAGAACCAGATTAGACAGCAAAGGAAGAGTCACTTTAACAACTATGAAAACCATAAAACTAGTTGTAGCAGTTCCATATTCATCTGTATTATACATCTACGCAATATGATTGCATTAAACAGAAGCAACCATTTAACCATCAGGTTGCTGCAAAGCAAAGCCAAAGCCACTAAAAAACATATACAAAAGTCAGTCACAAACTGCTAGCTTTTTGTACTCTTCACCAGCAATAGCAAGCTCCATGACCTCCGCAGGGTTCACAATGCCGTCACCATCCAAGAACATGGTCAGCAGATTCTTCGAAAAGCCACTCACTAGTGCCACACCACTCTGATTAGCCGTAACAGGGGTTGATCTTGAATCCCTTAGGTTCCAAAACACGATTTCCGGCACTGTTTGGTAACCATTCTCTCTGAATTTCCTCTGAATGGCCTGATAATCAGTCTCCCAAGGATTTGCAGATGCTCGATTGAACTCCATGTCACTGAATACAAACACCCTCTTGATCAACTGTTCTTCCTTTAGATTTGCTTTGGTGGCAACTTCCAAAATCCTGTCAAAGACTCCCTGGAAATTAGTGCTCATACCCCAGGCCATATCTCTCACAAACTGTGTTTTTTCCAAGAGGGTTTCACCTTCAACCTTTTGAAGCTCAGGATTCTCACTAAATGTGATCAATTTCCCCTTCCATGGCTCCTCACTCAGTTCAGAGACCAATACCCCAAGAGCAACAGAAACCTCCATCGGAATCCCAGACATACTCCCCGACACATCACAAACTGCAATGCAGTAACTCAATTTCCCTTTCGCAACCATGTCCTCGACCATTCTCTTCCATTGAAGCTCAGCCACTTCTCCACCATCACTATCCTCCAACGACTTAATGATCTCGTGTGGAAGCAAAGCCCCAGCAGCAATTTTTGCCTTCCCACTCTTGACATCCTCAAGATACTTAGCAAACCTCTCTTCATCATGCTTCTTAAACAGTTCCTTGTAAGTCTTCATAGCAACGGAGGCAACCCTCTTATATGGCAGTGAATTCCATTGGTTAGCACTCATATACACCTCAGGCAATTCCAATGCCTTATGCAAAGGCACAAGCACTTCCTTCCTCAATCTATCTCGAACCTTATAAACATAATGACTCTCCTCAACTCCCTCATACTCCGAATACTTCTCCTTAGGGAACAATTTTCTTGCAATGCTTTCACATATCAGAGTGGCCTTATCATAGGAAGAATCAACAGTGGGGCACCACTTTGCAGCCAAACTAATCTCGTTATTCTTTTCTGCACTCAATTTTTCAAGATCAGCCTTCAAAAGTTCAGCAAAGAAGTCAGAAATTCCATCATGCAGCAACCTGTAATTCCCATCACCATTGTACTTCTCCAAAGCCTTTTTCGCTTTGTTCAATTCCCTTTCTTTCCTCATAGCCCTGGCCTTTTCTTTCTCCTCTCTGTTACGTTTCTGAATCTCCTCCAAATCCTTCACAACTTTGTCCCTTTTCTTCCCACTTTCAGCTTCATCATTTCCCCTTCCCCTGTTCCTCCTACCTCTCCCTCTCCTCCCATGAAAAACCCATTCAGTAAACTCCTCCTGTTCTTCCAAATTTGTAATAAATTTCCTAAACTTCTCCTCTCTCTCAGTCTTCCTAGCCTCTTTCTCAGTCACCCTAATTAAAGGCCCTTCCAGAATCCTATACAGGATTTCAAGAAAATCCTTGAAGTAACCAAATTCAGCAATCGCCTTCACGTTACAAGCCAAAGTCTTAGGGTGAAAACAGTAGAGCCAAAACGCAGCCGCATAAAACCCTTCCTTATCAGACTTCCCAGTTCCCCTAACCCCTCTGAGATTACAAATCAATTTCAAAGCCATCAAAGGGTCATGAGCCCAGGCTAATTCCAACCGTCTAACAAGATCCTCACGGGGTGTATTAGGGACAACATGAAAAAAGAAATCCAAACAAGGGTTACCGGAGGATAGAAACGTCGCCGACAAATTCTCAGTCAGACCCATAAAGGGATGTTGATGATGATTACCTCCATCGGAGTCGTCGTCGTCGTCGACATCGAGTGTGGATGCTTGGCTTTTCAACTTGGCGATTTCAATCTCTAATTGGGTTTTCAGCATGGAAATCACATCGTCTAAATTGGGCTTTTCAGTGGCGGGGATGATGGTTTCTCCGCTGGCGGCGGCGAGAAGAGGTGGTGATGATCCCTGATAGAGTTCCGGCGGGCCAAGAAGGCGGTTGATGGTGGCCATTTTTGATCAGAATTTTTCTAGGTAAACGAAAATGGGACCAGAAATTGGGGAGATTTTTGCAAGATTTCGGAAAAACGGAAATGGGAATTCGATCTTCTGAAAATCTACCCAAAAAATTAGATGGAAATACTTAACAAATTGCAACTGCCGCGAATCGAGATGCCATATGTCGGTTTTCGCCGCTTTTAGTTTTTAGTCTAAGTGGGCTATAATGGATAAATCTTAAACAAATTAAAAGGGTAAATGGGCTTACTCTTTCTCTTCACAACAACGACCCAGAAGACAGAAACTAAACATATTTTTCATTTCTTGTTTTCTCCATTTTGATTTTTTAAATTTTTTTTAAAAAAATATTAGGACTGGTGTTAGAAACCACAAACTTATTGACTAATACACCCTCAGGTACTTATTATAAGACATTTTGGTTTGAATAAAATTATGTTTAGATAGTTTTCTAATTAAAAATGAAACCTGAAGAGTGTATTTTTCATATTTATTGTGCTCTCCCAATTATTATAAAATATTTTTAAATTTTTTTTTCAAATAGAACAACATATTAAATAAAATTTAAAACAAATCAAAATTCCTTATAATAAGAACCGGAAGGAGTACGGATTTCAGCCGAATAACTCGCTTATATAGATTTTTTTTTTCCCCTTTTGATGAACTGGGAGTTTGAGTTTCTGTTACTTGTTTCCCTTAGTTAACTGTTTAATTGAAGCATAAATTTTGAATATGTTCTTAACATGATTATGAATATGACACAATAACTCGATTTCCATACACAACTTTAAAAAATCTGATACGATTTGGGACTTTAACATGATTTTAGTCTGGTAACACATACTAGTACTTATTTCTTTCTTATATATTTTGTTTTAATATTTTACTTTTATTAAGTGGATCATTTTTATGGGATGGGTGGAATAATTATAAACCAACCAGCTCCCCTAATTCATTCCTCGCCAAAAATTTGATGGTAAATTTATGGACAGTGAAATTTGACTGTGTTTAAAAGCTTTTTATTTATTATTATAGTCTTCAAGTCAAAAGCCACTACCATTAGGGCCCTTATCATTTTTAAAATTATAATTTATAGTATCTGATGATTTGAAATTGCCTCCATCATCTTCGAAGGTGGTTGCACGAAAGTAAGGAATTAATTCATCCTCAGAAATATCAAATGTGTTTTTATCTTTGGTGAAGAACCCTTTCTTTAATTTGGAGTGGAGCTTGTGTCGTCGTTTGAGAGATGAGTTCAAAAATCGGTAAAATTGCTGTAAGAAAATAAGGATTGACCAAGATGGTGAAAATGGTTTAGTGTAACTTGAATTGGGGTTCAAACTTTGGCGTATACAATCTTAAAAGGGGTAAAAAGATGCAAGAACAAATGTTTACAAGTACTAGATTTGAAAATTATCTTAACAGAGTGGTAACCACCTCATTATTGCTCTCGTTACTAATTCACCACCTCCCCTAATTCATTCCTCACTGAATTTGGGCGTAAACTTTTTGAAGAAAAATGAAATATAGAGACCATGCGATTATCTTTGTTTTAGAAATATCAAAGTGCAAAACCACTATAGAGTAGTGAATTAATTCATCCACACGTTACATTTCAAAGCCATTTGGTAGATGACTATTAGATTTTATACTATTTTTTTTTAAAAAAAAAATGTACCTGGTATATTATACTCCCTCCGCCCATAATTATTGTCCAGTTTGAGTTTCAGTTTAGTTCAAATTGTACTAAAAGTGAAATCACAAACTAGACAATAATTTTAGGACAGAGGAAGTATTAATTTATAGGAATATTCATACATTGCATTAGGGAGTAGGCCATGTTATGCATATCGTGAACCTCCCTTCTACTATTATAGATTGCTCTTAGATTAGGCTTGGTACAGTTTTCTTATTTCCAACGGATTATTAAAATGAGACGTGAAATACTATAAATTATGTTTTCAAAAACAAATAAATGGGTGGAATGCCTGATCGAGGTGCTTGGTTCTAGGATTCATCTTTTGAAAAACAATACGCCTTACTATGTGAAATAAATTGGATAGGATACAACATTAATCATTAAATTAGGTTTACTGATGTGAAATATTCATCGTACCTTGCTCGTGTGCTCGAGTGTTATTCTGACTACGTAGAAATAGAATCTAGCGCACCGTTTTCTTTTTCTTTTCCAAAAGAGATGGAAAAAAAAAAATCTTACATCGTGAAATTTCTTATATTATTGAATGGAAAACAATGTAGACTAAGTCGTGTTTTAAATACTCCATCTATTTTGAAATATATGTCGTTTTAGGGTTTAATAAATTTTTTTAAATATATGTCGTTTTCACAAATCGAGGCATATTTGACCACTTTTTACCAAAATTGTCCTTGCATTGAAAATGAAATAATATTTATAATGAATTTCTATTGGTTTGTGATGAATTGTGTAAACAATTAATAGGGGTATTTTTGTATTTTAACTAAATGAATTATTGTCTTTTTAATTTTGATGAATTCTCTAGAAAGACATATAACAAATGAATTCGCCAATGGATCATTCAATTTATTACTTTCTTTCCGAAAAAAAAAAAAAAAATCCACTTAGAATTACAATATGGACGGTTCAATAAATTTGATTCCTTTGATTGACTGACACAGTTCATAATTTAAATCGTCGGATTATTATTTCAACTAATCAACAATGAGAAATATAAAATGTATTTATATCATCATATTGAACGGTGCATGAATCAACTTTATTTTTTTTGGGATAATTTTATTAATAAGAAAATGAAAAGATATGGCCTAAGTGATGCATGCATACATTGTATTGAAAATAACTAGGTTGATGATTTTCATTCAATCACCATCCTATTTCCCAAATAGTGAATACATACTAGTCTGCCTCTGCCATCAACTTTAACTAAAAAAGAATGTCTAGTATGAAAAAAGTGAAACATGGATACCCGTTGGTGGCGCCATATATTAATAAACAAAACCTAAACAAAACAAGCTGTTTGGAAGGTTTTTTTTATGATTTTTTCAAAATAATTAAATAATAACCGTCTTATTTTAATATACTTTTTAATTACATTTTCAATGTATTTTTTTACATTCTCAATAAAAAAACACCTACAAACACACACTGAAAAAACGATCCGAACATTTGAATTTTTTTTCGGGGACCAGATTAAGGTTATCAAACCGAAGTTTTACTTTTACCTCCCCTACTAGCCTAACCAGCTACGTGATTTTTACTATTCGAAAATGGCTTTTGATTTGATTGAAACCTTAAGAGATGTAAAAGAAATTCCAATGCGATTTTACATCTGATTAAATTAGTTACCTGTCTTATCAGTTAACCCATTTTTTCTACATCGAAATTCCTTTTACTTTTGTGTATTGCGATTGTAGAAAAAATTCCACAATTTTCAAAATGTGTGCTTGTTATATTCTACAGACGTTTCTCTGTTTTGGTCATTCATCAGTATTTGTCATTTTGTGAATCATTAGAGTCGATATTTTGAAAATTGAGATCAATCTTCCCGTAATAAAACAACATTTGGATACGCCGAATCCCAGTTAAAGCCGATATTACATCATATAAATAGTACTATCCCACGTTGTCATAATGGAACACAGTTACATATACTCCTTTGATCGGGAGGGAAAAAAAGACGTAAACATCAAGATATACTATTTTTCATAAACAAGAGAAGTCTAAAAGGATGGAATTTTTGTTTTATGTTATTGTTTCTGACTAGTGATGATCAATTGTGTTCATTACTGAAACGGTGTAAAATTAATCCGGTCAGCTTATAATGAGAGATGTCACTTATATGAAAACTTCAATATTAAGTAGATATGAAGTTACTAATACACACACCAACATTATTACTCTTCTTAGTCATGAGATGCAGTTGATAAAAAGATATTCCCTCTGTCCCAAAATTATTGTCCAGTTTGAGATTTCACTTTTAGTACAATTTGAATTAAAAATGAAATCCCAAACTGGACATAATTATGGGACGGAGGGATACAACACAACCAATTCGTGATAATAAAATAAATATCGACGAGGAATAATTAGGGTTGAAAGGGAAAAAGGGGGGAAAAAAAAAATCAAACCCTTAGCCTGGCCTTTTTATGTGGCATTTCGATACAACATTTTCCTAACACTAAAAACAGTAAGGAAGGCGATTTCAAGATACTAACGATATAAACACAATACTTACTTATTGATTCACTGATTGATAGATACTTTCACTTCTCATTTCTACACATTGTGTTACTTTCCTATTTAGCTTTTCACTTTTAATATAATTTAAATTAATTAAAAATTATAATAAATGAAATAATTTTCGGGAGGAGAAAAGTACATTTTTTTCTTCTTCTCCTTTTTTTTTTGAAAAAAAAAAACAATGTTCTGCCATATGCTATTTTTCGGAAGAGTAAATGGTTTTCCACTGTTTTGCCAGTAATTTGTTTTTTTTTTTTATCTGCCAAGAGCAAATAGAATTGATTCGTCTGCGCGCCTGCATTAATAAAATGATTTTATTATTTTCAAAACAGAAATAATATAAAAATTAGAGGGCTGCTCCATCCACGGAATGCTGTGGCCCTTGTAGGCTCTAGCTACTCTATGAATAAACTGATTGATTATTCAATGCTAAACACAAATTATTGCTTCACCAAATCTCCGGGGCCCCCCGTTTGCCCTTTGAGCAAGGGAAAATTCTTTTTAATTATCTTCATTTTTCCTTCTTTACCGTTCACATAATTAGACTGAAAGAAGTTTCCATGATCCTAATCGTGATTTCACTTATCCGTTATGTCTCGTGAATGAAACCATATTTTACAGTATTAATATAAACGGTGAAAAATATTTACTCGAAATTAATAATTATTAATAGTGCGAAGCGAACCAACATCAATTATTCTCAATCTTGTATTGTTGAAATACTAATACATATTCCCTCTGTCCCAAAATGATTGTACAGTTTGAGATTTTACTTTTAATACAATTTGAATTAAAAATGAAAATTCAAACTGGACAATAATTATAAAACGGAAGAAGTACTAACTAATCATTTCGGGTCGTTCATAAAATTCTGCCCCCTAGATTTCGATCGTGATGATAAGGACTGCACCTTATCAAAATAAATCACCATTCCACTTTAAGTAACTGTTTGAAAAAGACCATAATGTTTATAATAATTATTGTTTTTTTATAAGACCATAAGGTTTTATATTTCTTAACTCTAGATATTTCTGTCTGCGCGCTGGCCCTCCTGCTTACCAATACTCCCAACTGTAAGACTAAAAACATGTTCACGAATTTTCCATTTTAAAAATAAAAAGCAGAAATGAGTATTTTTTTATTTGTCAAAAAATAGTCCACATTGTAATAATTTGTAAGTTACATTAGTTATAATACAATTCAAACATTATAATGTAAACTACTTTTTTTGAGTGTGAAGGACTGTTATTTTGGGGTTAAAAGTGAAATATGAATAAAATAAATAAGGACAAAGTTTAAAACAACACCGTCAATCATTAGTAAAATCTTGATTAATTTGATCAAGATAGAGTCGTTTGAGTATGATGATGCTGTTGTTGTACTGTTCATTAATTTTATTTATCTTTTTTTTATATATATAAAAAAAGCAGTTTCTTTTTGTCCATTTATTTGGCTATAGTTTTTAGGTTTTGGGGTTTTAACTTATTTGGCTGCGACGCCGTACATATTAGTAAGATCATGATAGCTACCCCTTATATTTACGTGACAGTCAGTTATACTTTCAAAGTCTAACGGATCCTGCAATATTAATTAGTTGTTTTTTTGTTACCTGTACTGTACATATGATGGAGTTAATCAGTAAAATCGTTCTTCACATATTTACATGTTATTCTGACAAATTATATATTCTTGATAAAGTTAAATTCTTCTCACTCATCGACAACCTTGTGCCAAAACCCTTAAAGGAGTTTGGAGCGCCGAAAATATTGAGTCCACAAATTTTGAATCTTTTGAATTGAATTTACTGTGCTGATAAAAAGATCACGTAATAAAAATTTGACCGGACAACAAGTCCCCACATTCTTAAATCTTTTGAATTGAATTAACTGTATCAGTCGTAGTTCACACGATAAAGATTTGACCGGTAGAAATTATTGATTTTGACTGGTAAGAGATAAAACTTTTAAGGTTCTCGTACGAGTCAGAGATGCATTCCCACCACTCGTTTTGAGCAAAAAGTGGAATTTCATCATTTCAAAGGACCAATTTGTCGATATATATATTATCAAGTGTGTTAATTTTTGAAACTTATTGTCATAATGTATTGCTCTTCACCAAAATTCATTACCCAACAAAGGCAAAAATAAAAATCTTTCTAAATGAAATGAAAAGCTTCTGGAAGTGTCAACACCACTTTGATTTCTTATTGAAAAATCTGAAAATATGTTGAATCAAAGAAGAAGAAACATATTTCCTATTTTACACAATTATCACAAGATTAAGGAAACCAAAACTAGAAAACCAAAAGAAAGAAAGATCACATTGTGAAATACAAATTTCAAAAAAAGAAAAAGAAAAAAAAGAACTAGCTAGTTGAGGATGATGATTGATGCTCAAGAACTTGTACTTCTTAAAAGTTCTTCCAAGTAATCATTCCCCAAATCCTCAAAAACAACTATATTCTCTACCTTAACTTCTCTTCTTTCTGTAACATTTTTGCTCACGTTTCTCCTCCTCCTCATGGAATGCTTCCTCTTCAATGCAATAACAGGGGAGCATCCATCCTCAAACTTCAATGTCCCCTTCATTTCGCTCAGCGATTCCCGAACTCTTTCCACCGGAAAATTCAATATCGCCGACGGCCCCCGCATCGAGAAAGCCGCCTGATCGTAAGCCATGGCCGCAGCTTCCGCACTGTCAAATGTCCCTAACCATACCCGGATTCCATTCCGGGTCGAATCCCTTATCTCCGCCGCGAATTTGCCCCACGGCCGCCGCCTCACGCCGCGAAACGCCTTCTCCTTGTTGGGTTTTCGGCCTAATTCCGAACTCACCTCGTCTTCCACCTTGATTCTCTGATCATCAGAAGCATTCGATTGATCTTCAGAGGATTGTTGTTGTTGTTGCTCTGTTAAGATGCCGTAGAGAAGCATTTCTTCGGAGTCGTTTTCGTTGAAAGGGAGTGAATTGCAGAGCATTTGGGTGTTGAATTGGAAGGAATCCATTGAATCAAACGAATCAAATGATGAATTGGAAGAAGAAGAAGAAGAATGGTCAGAAATCATGGAGAAGAAGATGGAAGAATCCATAATATTTTTTCTCTCTGTTTTTGCTCTGTTTTTCTTGACTAGTACTGTTTTGAACATTACAAGGTAAGAGCATGAGCCCATCTATATATACCCTCTGAAAAGGGGTGGGTGGAGCTAATAAAAATTAAAAAATGTCACAGTATTAAGTACACTTTAAAAATATATTGTGTGACAAAATTTAGGAAGAAAACAATAATAAGAAGGGAAAATGAAGCTACAGAAAAAAGGGTAACATTTTTATAAAAGTTAGTATTTAAATAACGTTGTACAGTATTTGGTGTCCAGGGAGGATGTCTTTTGGTTTTATCAAATATATAATTGTTTTTTAATATCTGTTTGGACAAGTGGAACGATTGCTTCACGTGGGTCAAATCAAGCAAGGCGGCGAGGTCAGCTGGGACAGTTTGTGACGTCATTCGATAAGATCTCATGACCTCAGCTTCCTTTTTTGGGCTCTTTTGGGTTAGATGGAATCATGGAAATTAAGCCGAAATGTTCATTTCTGTACTTTCATTTTAATCGAATCTGAATTTGTAGAAGTTCTCTGTGCTTGTGTTGATTTCCCCGGCCCCCCTTTTGGGGTGTTAAAATGGATGGATAATATGTATGGTTTGGTTTTGCAAAACAGAGTTTTACAAATGTAATGTAGGAAGGTCTGAGTTGTCTGTCCTAGGCCCTAGGGCTATCTAATCGATGCTCTGAGAATGATCGAAAATTGGAAATATCCGGTGTTAGGTTAGTTTTTCTCGATTAGTCTAAGTATGATACCCATTACTTCTCGACTTACAGATTATAATATAAAAAAGAAGTGATGACATTTCGTTACAAAAATAATGGCTTTTTTTTTTTTATAATGATAAGTAGGTTCTAGAGTGCTAACAAAATTTTTATGTATATTACACACTGGATACCTAAAATAAATGACTGATTTTGAAATAGATAAAAAAAATTTCCAAGAAAGTATAACTTTTTTAGCAAATATAATTTGATCGCAGATTGTACATATTCGAATTCCAGTCAAGTTTCCATGGGACACTTTATTTTCGTTATGCAGACAGAAACAATGACATGTTTACTAGCATTGTAAGAAACTGTAAACTTGCGTATTATCAGGATAAAAATCCACACCGATTGTGAAACTTTAACAGGGGAACTAAGAATTGATACAATTTTGACAGAAGCTCTGGAAGTTCTTTTTCTTTTAATTCTGCTTTTGTCAACTGATTAAAGTGAACTTTCAATGCAATTTTTGACCCTCACGAAGTATTTAGGCATAATTCTTCCCAGAAAATTTGAGCTAGGGAACACCTCTGTTCCTTCCTCTCTCTGTTTCATTAACTCATTGATGATTTTAATCGTACTTTCTTCCACATGAATTTTACGTCTAATCATTTAAATGCCCCCCGCCCCCCCTGGTTTTTTTTTTATTCTTTGCATACCATAGCAGTAATTAGCTCCTTGTTTGCAGCTAAATGAATGGAACAGTTTTGGTCAAAATTTTTAAGCATTAGTCCATCTCCCATGGAGATTTGAACACCCGACCGTAAGAGTTTAATGTCTTTTTCTTCTTAAGAGTTCATTGAGATTTAAAAATGGAGTCCAATGTAAACCAAAAAAAAAAAAAAGAAAAAAGGAAGAAAAAAAAGAAGTGTTTCATTCTAATTATTAGTGAATTAATAAGAAAAAAAAAAGTAAGGCGTATTTCATTCTAATTCTTAGTGAATAATAATAATGTAATGAAAACATGATAATCATTCAGTACGGTCGTTTGATTGATAAAAAAATGGTAAATGAAACTAACTAGCTACTTCCCGTTCCATGACAATATATAGTTCAAATTCTGGAAGTAAATACAGTATTCTCCGTTGGCTCAAATTTATCTAAAAATTAACTATTATTATGAGACGAACATTATATGTATAAATTGCTAATGACAGCGCCAGTCTCGTTAATACAAGCCGCAAGTTGCTATTATATTTTGTCTCGTATCATATCTTCGTCATTTCGTTTTCCGCTGTTGTTATAGCTATTTGTGGATTTATTATTATTTTATATATATATATATATATATATATAGTGCGTAACAATCAAAGAACGTTCAACTCAATTGCCCAAATTAACTTCTTTTTTTGCCAAATTAAACTAAACTAAAAACCCACCTGGTCTTTAGGCATTCATTATCAGGAAATGGACTAAAAGAATTCTCTGTATAAGAAATCTATAATTCTGTTATTAGATCAGAATAGCGATAGAGACAGTAAATAATCTACACAGTATCATAAATTTGATACAGTGAAAATCGTATTAATTTATAGATGATTGCTATGATGATGATATTATGTGCGTCATATCTGAATAATCGAATAACATAATACATGGTTATAATGTGTCAAAATCACTGTAACATTTGATTGTAGCAATAATGATCGATCGTAAGAACATTCCTGCTCATCATTTCCTGGAAACACCCTTCTTTCTTATTAGTTGGGAACTTTAATTTGGAACTACAATATTCCCACCGTGCATATTATGGTGGTCCTTTGAAATATTCTTTCCTTTGGTCAAGATTCCGAACTGAATATATTAAATTGCCATAAAATTTGTTTTCCCTTGTTTCATATTCCTTTTAGAACTTAGCTATTTCGTTTACCCCTTGAATTTTTTGACTAATTTTTCCATTAAGGTGTAAAATTCACTCTGCAGGAAAAATCTTTCTAGAATGGTCTTAATTCACATATACTTAGCATCATAATTTTGAACTTTGAATTTAGAGATTTATATAATTAATATATCTTTAAAGTAATTGAAGAAAATCCCTTTTACCGATTTCCTGAGTTTATATATAAACAGTTGCATTTCTTAATCATAAGTCTAATCGTTATTGTTTGGTTTAAGGAAATGAGGACCAAAGAAAAAAAAAAAATTGATCATCGGTTATCCGTTTTGGTTACGTGTTCTGTTAAAATTTGCATTCTGATCTTCGTCCTCGTTGTTTAATTTGCTGCAGTCTCACAAATAGGATTCATGTGAACTGGTTAAAGTACTTTCTCACGTTTGCTGCCAATTTTACATACGCAACTCTAGTCTCTCTACCAACGCACGTTTTGATTACTATCCTTTTGTTCCAAAATAATTATCGTATTTATCAATAAATACGACGATCATTTTGGACACAGTGAGAGTAGTGTAACATTTCTTTCTTTTATTTTTGAACTCATTTGATCTACTTCATATAAGTTTACAATTATAAGATCGATAAACTTCATTTGGTCTTTCCAAAACAGCAAATAAAGTGAATTATAACTTGATTAATCCATTTGGTTTCATTTAAATGAAGCTATATTAATAACGTAATACAACTAAATTATCGACTAAGTAACCCAATAAAACGATTTAGAAAAAGAAAATCAAAATTCGCTAGATGTACGTACATGGCTCAGACTAAATATATACCTGATTTTGACGTATATATCGATCTGATTGCGCCTGATTGAAATAATAATTGAAGTGGAAAACTCCCTCCATCCCAAATAAATAATCCATTTTATTGTTTTAATCAGTTTTAGAAAATGAATAATTGTTTGAAAGGAAATAACATATAATTATAATTGATTTCAAGGTAAATGACAAAATAAGAATTAAGCGCAAATTAACTAAAATAAAGACCAACAAAATAATAAATACACCTCAGTCACAAACAAAATTCTTATTTTGGGACGAAAGGAGTAAGAGTTCAAATTAACATCACCCGTTGCATTACCGACTGCATTTTCCTGGAAGTTGTTGTTATTTTTTTGGAGGGTTCTAAATTATGGAGGGGAAAAAAAACAGGCAAATGAAGAAAAATTTAATGAATGTGATCATTAATTCATTATCCTGAATATAGAAAAGCTAGTACCAAGTTCATGATGGTTATTGAGGTTGATTGGTAATTATAAAATGTCCAGATTCAGATCCCTCAAAGTCCCCTTTCTCTCTCAGAGAGAGTGACTTCTCACTTGAGTTGAGAACTCCATGTCATATAGTTATATGTTGAAATTCAACCTTTCTTATTTTAGGAGTTTCATGGAAGGATCCATATAAAGGTTCTTGATACCTTTTTGGCCTCCCTTTAGTTATTTGATAGTTATAACTTCAAAAATTACAAAAATTTTATTCCATCGAACATTCTCCACAACGATTTCGTAATTCCTTTTTCTTTTTTTAATGATTAACGATTTTTTTGAAAAAATAATTGGCCCATGTCTAAATAATTACTTACATACATTAATTAATCATGTGCCGTTTACTATCATTGTTTAAAGTTAAAATGAATTTTCTACTCTTTGGCGAGAGGGATCAGTTGCCATTACTGATCGTAAATACCAAAATATATATATATATATATATATATATATATATATGTTACTCTTAAGAGAAGGTCATGAATTCAAATCCCACTCTAACAAGAGTAAAGGAATGACTTTAACCTTGTTAATTGTCATCTCTAGAGGGCTTGTTATGGCAAACTCACTCATGAACTCCCGATTTCGCACCCGAGCTTGTCAACCCGGGTTTACCTAGGGTGGTTTACCTTCCACTATGGTTTACATACTATTACAGTGGGCGTGGGTTTACCCATCTCTGGTGGAATTTCCGACGTCACCTAAAAAAAATAAAAAATTAAAACACATGAACCTTTTTTGAGAAGGAGGGGGGGAATAGAGGTTAAATTTGGAAGAATAAAGAAAGAGTCAATTTACACATAAACATTGAATTTACAATATGTTCATCTGATTCTCATGAAAAAGACATTGGCGGGGGCATGAAATGGAACAAAAAGAGAAACGAAGAAACAGAAACGTGTGTGCGTCTTTTTGTTTGGTCCGAATTAATTAATACATGTTTTTCTTTCCAATTTTTAATAACAACCAAACCAATTAACCAAGATAAAGCTTGAAAATTAAGAAAGAAATTAAAAAAAAAAGAACAATTAGATATATTGTCGTTAACATTCATTTCGTTCAAAGTTGTAGTCCTCTTTGTTGTCGACAATGTGGGGGTAAGAAAGTGTTCGCACAAAGTGAGAAAAAGAACAACGTTTTTTAAGAAAAGACCAAAGATTAGAAATCCTTATGTGAAATGTTCAATGACTTAATTTTAATAATATAACTTTTACCCAACAATCCCCAGTTTGTTCTTTGGGATAACTTGGGTTTTGTTACTGTGTCAAAATGCACACAACTTGATATTTAATAA